CCTCGTTCTCTGGGATGCTGCTGAGGTTAAAGAGGAAACGAAAAGCAGAGTTTTCGCTGGTCCCTGGGATGTTCTCCAGATGTTCTAGGCACAGTTGGGGAGGAAAAGAAAGCACATGAGCTTTTCAAGAGTTTGAAAAGTCAAGAAATAGCGAAGAGTTGGGGGGATGAGTGGTGAATTCTGCTTAGATAGTGAAGCCTATTTGGGGGAAATAAGCATACCTTTTGATATGAAGGAGCAGATAAGTGGGGCAGCTGGCAAACTGGTGAAACTTAGCTAGCATTCAGCAAGCACCAAAGACAGAAAGATCTCCCAGCCTTCTTTATATGTCTAATAATTTCCATGTGTCAACTCCTTACTCCACCACCATCAGACTCCCCTTTTAAAGCCCTCTTGGCTTTGTGTACACAGTTTTCTTTACAAGTGGTTGTAAAGAAAGAGGGGCCAACAGAGCAGAGGCAGGAGGAAACATGCACACAACCACCCTCTCCCTCTTCTTCCACTTTCGAGTATGTTACTAAACATTTCCCCAGCGATCTGGGAAACACAGAGCATGCCTTGTTGATCATGTTACAGAGGGGAAAATAAATTCCAACACAGTAATGATGCTGGTGGATTAATAACTCAGATTTACTTTGGAAAAGAAACATCCGCTAGGAAACATTCAGATCGGATTACAAGGCCCCTATTGAATAAACCTGACAAACACACAGCTGTAATATTAAATTCAGTAGGTGCTTTGGAAAAAAAAAGGCAGAGAAACCTGGCATAAAAGGCTTTGATATAGCAAAAACACACCACGAGGCAAGACCACGACTGAGTGGTATCATTCCCCTTCTCCCCAGCCCCTCCCCTGTCTCCAAAAAAACAAATTTAGCCACAGCTCTGGAAATGCTTTGGAGGTAAGCAGCTCAGTTCCCCAGCCTCCTAGATTTGGGGCTTTGATGTAACCTGAACTCTTCTCCCCCAGGGCTTCCACTGCCCCACCAGGCAGCCCTCCTGGCCCTCCCCAGCCCAGGCTGGGGACAGAGACTAACCTTCATGGTGGAAACTCCTCACGGTGTTGGCCCGACTGGCGGGGCGCTCAGGATACACCAGACCCGTGCTGTGGACCTGTTCTTCCTCCTCCTCCCCAGACTGGAGCCGGTAAAGATCCCGCATGTAATCCGGGATGACTGCGCTCTTGCTAGGCTGCGGGCGGCGGCGCAGCCCGAACATCTGCAGGAGTGTAGCCTCGAAGTCCCGAAGGAGCTCATGGCTCTGCCCTGAGCGGCGTCCTCCCGCGTGGCCCTGAATCTCGGCGACTTTTTTCTTCCCCGTCTCAGGTATCAGACTAGCATGGCTCGCGCCTCCTAGCAGGACTTGGCATAATAAAACGACCATCAGCATTCGGTTACCAGGAATCATGGTGTCTCTGGGGAGGGGGAGGAGGTGGAAGGTTAAAGAATAAATAAACACCAATAACTAGAGAGAAATAGAGATGTCTCTGCACACGCATATAGGGCTGGAGATAGAGGGTCAAGATGTACAACAGGTCAGAGAGATCAAGTTTGTGTCTTCTCCCTCACACACCCCCCACCACAGCTGCAGCCATGCACGGCCTGAAAGTAGGAATTGCCCTGTAATTACTTGGTCTAACTTGTTTACAGTCAAATAACCCCAAATCAGATAGCCTCCATCCTGTTAATCTTTTTTTGTCCCAACTGCTATCTGAGCCATGATCTCAGCTTGGCTTCTTCAAGGATAAACAGTTAACATTGAGGAGGTAGAAAAGGGTGGGGGAGGGAGAATTAAAATGCCATCGCTCTCCTCTCCACTTCAGACCTTCTGCCTCTCTCCCCCTCTTTCTCCACCCGCCCTTCTTCTCCGCCCTCTGAGCCCAACTTCCACAACTTCCAGCTGGTTCGGAGCAGGAGGGAGGGAAAGTAGAGAAACAGGGGCAGGGCGAAGACACTGGGCGGCAGGATCTGGGAGCTGACCGAATGGCGTGGGGGTTCATTTTACTGTGGCTGGTGAGTTTGAAATGCCCAGCAAAAAGCATCTGATCGCTCCCGCTAGCTCAGTCCCAGGGAAGGCTGTGGGGGATGATTCCGAGAGTGTGATCTCTGTGAGTTTTGACAAGCAGCTGGAAACGCGCCCTGGGGGCACTGGGCGCTCCCCTGTCAAGTGGGGAAGAGGGTGTTTAGCCCCCGGAGCTGCGGACCTTTCACCTCTTTAGCCCCCTCTCTCCCCTTTCTAGCAAGGCACGGATTTGAGAGAGACTGAGAGTGGGAGCAAGCAGCACTTTAAATAGAACTGGTATGTTAGGCGCACAGCGGCCACCAGGCCAAGAAGAAAGCGACAGCGCTGCCAGAAAGCAGAGTGTGGACTCTGGAAGGAAGGTCCGACGGGAGGGACACGAAGCGAGCACAGGTGGGGAGGGCAGATTGAACTCCCGGGAGGAGGGAAGGAAGAGGTGTCTACTCACTGACAGAAAACAAGGCATATAATAACAGTCCATGATTCTTGACAGCCAATCTTGAACAAACTTGCTGGAAAGGCTCAGAGGAGCTGCGGCAGTGCGTTGCTCTGGATGGCACTACGGAATGGCTCCTAAAATGAATATTTGAATATAATGAGACTCTGGCGCAGACGGACTCTGTTTTTCTTCCAGCCCCTCTGAGTCACGTGAACGCAG